CAGCAGCCTCGTCCGGGATGGGAGGGAGGCAGGCAGGAGCCGCCGAGCGCCCGTTGTGCGCTGCGAGTCAGACCCCGGGCGGCGGAGGCATGCGCACGGCCGCGTGACCCCGCTGTGTCCTCGGCGCTTCCACGCGGGGGTTGTCCCCTAGAAATCCTGCCCTGTGGGTGGGAAGGGCCCTGTGGGCCGCTGGCGGGGCCGGGGCTGCCGCAGGCCCCTCGACGGTAGGGAGGTGAAGTGTTTCGGGCTGTCAGAGCCAGAGGTGCGGCAGATGGGCCCGTCGCGTGCTCAGACCCGCAAGCCCATCCTCGGCCTCTGCCCTGTACCAAAAGCTTCTAGCAGTAACTTACTGACTTCACATTTATCCTGGTTTTTGCGTTGCATGCTTAAGTCACGAGTGCGATAATAAACCTGTCACGAATAAAGACTGCTGTCCCCTGAGAGGTTCGAGGTCATCCTCGTGCTCACGTGTTTGAGAGTAAACACGGATAACTTGGAAATGAACAGCGCATGGCGCTTGACTTTTATTTCTAAAACGCGTTCCTGCAGATGGCTAGTGCCGAGTTCTCCTGGAAGAAGCCTGCCAGCTGCAGAACAGCTGTTTCTATCACGTGAAGCGCATTATGCTCTAGAAAACTTGTTACTTGGTTGGATACCTTGGTGTTGCATCTTTGTGACAAACGGAAGCAGAGTTTTCGCTACCTTTTCTGTTAGTGATAAAGATGTACAGGCGTCCGAGATGCCTTCACAAGGTGAAGCTTGTCTATGGCATGTCCCTGCTTGAGATCATGTGAAGAAACTCTGGTGTGGCATGCTAGTTATTGCTATTTAATTAATAGAAAACGAGTTCCCTGTTAAATACACTTTGAAATTCTGTGAAAAGTAGTGGAAGTGAAATAAAATTATGGCAATACTGATATTGATATTGTTGAGATACTGGTTTTCCAACTTCACAGTTCAGATCTAAAAGGCATAATTATTTCCACCTTTCCTCTGTGGGGCTGATAGAAAGGCCTGTGTTATAAGGAAGAGAAGCAGGTTAGAACTATCATGGTGAGGAATTTCTGATGGTAGCTTAAGTAATAACCATTTATTTATATCAAATACTGGAAGGATGTTATCTTCTAGAGAAGATAACTTAAGTACTAATGTGGATGACTAGGGAAAGAGAGAAACAGCTGTTGTTCCCCTGCTTTCCTTCTCTTCAATTTGTAACTTTTGTTCATTAGGGCTTTTGTATAACTTAAACAATTCCCTTTTTTTTTTATTATTTTTTTTTATATATATTTTCCTATCCTTAAAGGGCTATGTAAGGTACAACAAGTGAAATTACCAAGCACAGGAATGTGTAAGAATGCAGCTACTCAGCTAATCAAGTGTGGTGTAACATGGGTCTTTAATGAAAGATACTAACATTAATTAGCTATTTAGAAGAAAGGGAAGCTGAACATTTGTTGAGCAGTACTGTAACTACTGGAAAAAGAATGTAGTTCTCCTTTCTGAATTCTAATACCTGTTTGTGTGTCATCTTCATCTAACTATCTTATTCATTTATTTAATTTTACATGCTGTATGTGTTGGTAGGTAGCATTCTCCTGGACTGTAGCTTCTAGTCATGACATAAGAGGTTTTGCCAGTTAAAGAGCTACCAAATGTAAGCCAAGCAATTTCTTACTTGGTTTCTTTTAAGAGTTCTTTTATTTGCTTGGAGAATCTGAATTGGTCACAGTAGTGAGGACTAGGGATTTGTTTTGGCCCATCTTTGCTTTCAGGCCTCCTTATTTTTCCCTGCAGTGCTGGAATGAAGTAGGGAACTTTGGTAGCCTTGGTTTGAATTAAACAGCTTGCTTTACTTCAGCACCAAGTTTATTTCTTTGAAGTATGGACTTGATGGGTGAGGGGATCCCAGTCCTCAAAACAATAATGCATTGGTTTCTGCCTTTAAAAAGGAAGGCATTGTTCCCAGTGTTTGACTGAGCATTGCAAAGCTGCATTTGCTCTAGGCAAGAGCATAAGTTTTTGAAAAAAATAATTGGAAGTAGAATTATTGTCCTGGAAGGCCAAGTATACAATGCTCAATCTCATCCATCCCATAATTTAAGTTTATTCAGTAAATGAATCTTGGGTATTCCTAACTGGGATCTTGTTTTTGGTGGTTAAGTTTTTTAGTTTTTAGACATGTTTTGCACCAGTGTTTCCTAATGTACTTTGTGTTTTGAACCAAATTAAATTGCGGAATCATTGCATTCACACAGGGCAAACTCAGAAGATGAATCTCTTCCAATCCATAACAAGTGCCTTGGACAATGCTTTAGCCAAAGATCCAACTGCAGGTACCTTATACTTGTTGGTGTGTTTTGTTTTATATAAATTGTGGTTTGAATTGCCTATCTGTGTACAATATTTAATGTATTTCTTATGGCCTTTAAAATTTACTAATAAGTTATTTCTACACTTTGATCTCAAATCTTAAAAATGTGCTGCTTTAACGGATTACTAATGGATTATATGGTCTAAGAAGCAGTTGTATCTTCTGTATTAGCTCTGTGTATTTCACTTGAAAGTGAGGACAGAAGATACATTATTTAATATGCTTAAAGTATAACTGATGAGAACTGTCCTTGAGGGCAGCTTGAGTCCCACTAGTAGGAGTTGTAAAAATATAAGCATTACTTTTAAATTTCTTAAACTTTCTGTTCCCTAAAACTGTTATTTCTTTTAGAGACCATATATTCATCGCTCTATACATTCTGCTTTCTTCCCTGCCCTCGAAAATTCATTTATAGCTTTATTGATTTCTGTCCATTATTGTGCATAGGCAGTGTTAGATTTGCTAGACTTCTGCAGTCTGGATAACCCATAACTTGGAAGATGCTACTTCATTATGGCGAGATATAAAAGGCTTATTCTGAACTATTGCACAAAACTATTTACTCCACTTTTAATTCTTATACATAACAAGAGGTCTTTTGCTTCTGTTGTCCAAACAAGGGCATGATGGCCAGATATCTGAGAGATGCTTCCCATGAACACAGCTTCAAAGGCTGCATCATCTTGTGTAATTTTGGGTTTTCTTTTTAGTATGTTAGTAGCCCTTTTTGGCACTGCTTGGATCACTGCTCAGCCTAAAGTCTGACTAATTGTCTAATCTTTTGGGACAAATTCCATGTTGTCTGTCCAGTACTATGCATGTATACATTCCCTCTCAATCTCAGCTGTTTTATATGCACCTTGATTAGATTGAACTTAGACAACTGAGGGTAAATTAGGGCCAAGAACAGATTTCATTGCCATTTCTCTAGAATCAACCATATGAAAGCAAGTAGAATGTTAGTCCAGCCAGAAGGAACCTACCCTTTTATATACAGTCTTGTGCCTTTAGAGAACTAAGGTTCCAGTCTTGCTCCTCAACTTTGCAGGGCTTAGTCTTTGTAGAGCCCTTTGCAGGACCATGTTGGAGTTCCACAGTCCAGATGTAAGTTCTCAGAATCACTCCACTTACTGAATTAATTAGGACTTTTTGCAATAGAAAACGTGTCCTTCATATGTTTTTAGTTGTATGGGAATTGAGCAAATAAGTGTGGAAATCCTCATACTTATGTTGATGAGAATTAGAATCTCTCCAGGAAAATATATTTCAGTGGCTGAACTGAATGAGTAAATCCATTCAACTTTGTGTATACCAGGATTAAATGGGAATACTTTATGTAGATGCCAGCTGGCTCAAAAGTAAAGAGCCATATGGTAATAGAAAGGACTTAAAATGATTTTAAGTGCATAAAATCCCACCCAAATTATTGTTAAAAATTAGAGAAGTGATCTAGGGACATAGTTCGGTCATACACTCCATGAGTACATTCTTTTTACATCTTTATAGAAGTTGTATTTCTTTAAGTGGTGTCATTGATGTGATTAGCACAAGTATGCTAATCCCTTTTTGTGATTTCAATCAGAAATTTATTTTATTTAATTAAGAATAGTATTTGAAAGGCAAGAAGGTTAACTTTTTATTTTGTGTCCTTTAGAATATGGAGAATATTGAAGAATTGGGGAATAATCAGAACTGATCCTGGTTCATACAAGCATCTATTGGTGATATTGCTGCACATCTTACATGCTTAAAAATTGAAATGGGAAATACTTGTTTCTGTGAAACAGATAACTGTTTTAAGAAAAGTTAGACATAACCATTCCCTAAATGCAAAGAAAAAAGCCTGAACAGATTAGTTGATATGAAGCTAATTTTACAAGGCAAATACTTTTAGTGATAAAACTTTATTCACTGCAAGAATAGTAGTGTTAAATACTGAGAACTGTCCTAGTTATTAAATAGCCATCTTTTCTGTAAAGGAGTTCCTTTGAAGTCACTCTTCAGGGGTCTGGAAAGTATCTTTGGAGAAGGCTTGACATTTCATATTAGATTGATATTTTGGAAAAAACGTCAGTGTAATTTTTTTTTAAAACACTATATTTATTGAAAACTGTGGATGAAGAATGCAAATGGTTATAAATGAAGCAGAAGGCTTAATTTCAGTGACTGTTTAGTGACTGAATGTAATTGCTTTTTGGAATTTTACTCACTTAGTTTTAGACACTGTTATTATAGGGTATTTCAAAAAAATTGATAGCTAATGAAAGCCTAACAGAATCAGTTTCATGAATTCCGTTTTGAGACAGATGTGTTGGTGTTCTGATTTCTCATTAATCTTGGTTCTTCATTTGTTATAGTCAGGCTGTGCGTGAGAAATATTTAGATCTAGATAAATCTTGAAGTTTAAATGAAATGCTAGGAGTTACTTTTGTTAGTGTCTCATATAAAAGCCTTCGAAATGTGATTGTTTAAAGGTGTAAGATGTAGTAATGTTAACATTGGAGTAATGTTAGCCTCCCCTGTTCTTATTTTGAGTTGTATTTGGTGAAGACGTGGCCTTTGGTGGAGTCTTCAGATGTACAGTTGGCTTGCGAGACAAGTATGGTAAGTTAATTTATAAATCTGACATCAGATTCATATTAACATCTCTGCTTTTTTTTTTTTTTTTTTTTTTTTTTTTTTTTTTTTTTTTACTTATTTTGCTGTGAGAAGAACTGTTACTGCAATGCTAAAAAACCGTAAAATCAATGTTTCATGTATGGCAGGCTGATTAGTGTGGAGCATTTTACAGGTCTTGGAAGCTGGTTGTGGAGACAGTACTATGATACAGCTTTTAATTTGGCAATTGCAACTCCCCCACTGCAGTTACTACTTCCCACTGGGTTATTAGGAGGAATAAGAGTTAGAAGATATTTAGTTTCAGCATCTTACTTTCGTCAAGGTACAGAAATGACCTGGACCTTTTGCTGCAAGTGTTAAATCTATTTAATGGTAACAAAGATGTGTTACAGCCATCTTGAGGAACAAAGATCCACCTTTTTTGTGAATAAACCAAAAAAGGGAGAGGATAAAGACTATACTTCTAAGAAGTTTCAGAAACACAACCATATTTTGCAGTCTTGCTTCTCTGCTTCAATTATTTTGTGGATGTTCTCTTGCTCTCTAGTTTACATGTGAATGTTTAAATAATTTGGATAGAACTGCTAGCCATGATCTTTAGTGCTGCTTGTTGAGACTGAGTTACAGTTCTGTAACTGGTGTGATATATTGACTGTGTGTACGAGGCTCCATATGAAAACCAGGCCTCTGAGACTGCAACCAGTTGCTGGAAACATAGGCAACAGAAGATGTTGTTTGGGAAATAAGTAATAGCAGCAGATGGTTGCATAAGCAACCTTCTTGGGTTTTAGTGAGCATCTCCAGTTTAAAAGACAGAAGATACAAACTTTATATTGTTAGGTGGTGCTTTGAGGGTCATTTGATGGTTTTTGTTTTTTTTTTGATGTAAGACAGTCATATACTATTGGAACAAAGGAAAGAGATTATTTAATCTTTGTAGTAGCATTTTATTGGTAGTGTATTCCAACATGCCAGTGCTGGTCAAAGACTCTGTGACAGCCCTGACAGAGCACAGGGGGTCTGTTGAGGGAGTGCAAAGCACTGTTTACACTAACTGTGCAAATCAGGATGATAACCAGCAGTCACAACACGTTAGCAGCCTAGCTAGAATCAGGTTTATTTCATGGGTATGATAATGATTTTTCATGAGATTTTTGAGGAAGCTATGATGTGACTTCAGGAACATTTAGAAAGAACTCCTTTAAAGCATGAGAGGGAACATGAGAATTGGGGAAGTACTTATATGAACATTAAACAAGAACTAATGAAACTAGTAGTGCCATTTACTCAAAAAGAGTACTGACTTCTTCAGGGTAAATAAGAGGATAGATTTTATGAGGAAAATCTTAAGTGTTTCAGGTGATTGTCAAGTAAAATGGGTAGGTATATAAAGTGCTAATAAGATGAGATTAACAAGGTAGGAAGGTGTCTCTTCACTTTAATTCAGACCATTGCAAAAATTATACTTGTTAAAATGTGTCAGCAAGAAGAGAAGGAAAAATTTGAAAAACTTTTTGCTGTTTTCCTACATTAATAAAAAGGTTGTTTTACAGCTTCTGGTGTTTAGGTCTAGGTGACAAGTGAACAGAAGGTGTTGATAGTGATTGAGAGAGAAGGAGGTGGAGAAGGCATGACTTGATGTGGTGGTTTGACCCTGGCTGGAGTCCAGTGCCCACCAAAGCTGCTTTATCACTCCCCTAAAGTGGATGTGGGAGAGAAAATGTAACGAGAGGCTCATGAGTTGATACAAGGATATGGAGCGGTCACAAACTGATTACTGCCATGGGCAAAACAGACTTATAGAAATCCATTGAATTTATTACCAATCGAAATAAGAGTAGGATAATGAGAAATAAAACGCATCTTAAAACCAGGTTCCCTCCTACCCCTCCCTCCTTTCTGGGATTACCTTCATTCCTGTTTCTCTGCCTCCTCCTCCCCGCCAGTGGCACAGGGAGACTAAGAATTGGAGCTATGGTCAGTTTTTCACTTGTTGTCTCTGCCACTGCTTCTTCCTCATGGAGAGGGAGTACTTTCCCTGCTGCAGTGTGGAGTCCCTCCCATGGGAGACAGTTCTCCATAAACTTCTCCAGCATGATTCCTTCCCTTGGGCTGCAGTTCTTCATGAACTGCTCCAGTATGGGCCCTTTCCACAAGGTGCAGTCCTTCAGGAACAGGCTGCTTCAGCATGGGTCCCACATGAGGTCACAAACTCTGCCAGCAGAGCTACTCCAGTATGAGCTCTTCTCTCCACAGGGCCACAGGTCCTGCCATGAGCCTGCTGCAATTCAGGCTTCCCATGGGATTACAACCTCTTTTTTTTGGACATCTACCTGCTCTGACATGGTTCCTTCTGGGGCTGCATGTGGATCTCTGCGACCTCTGTGGGTATAGGGTCACAGGTACTTCATCATGGGCTGCACCAGCCTGTGCCTGTGCTATTTTTATTTTTAATTTTTTTGGTTTCCTTCTTAAACATATTATTCCAGAGCATTATTGATGGGCTTGTCCTGGGCCAGAGGTGGGTCTGTCCTGAAGGCCTCTGACATTGGCTCTGTTGGACATAGGGGAGGTTTCTGGCAGCTTCTCACAGAAACCACCCCTTTAGCTCCTTCCCCTTCTATCAAAACCTGGCCATACAAACCCAATACACAGGAAAAATAAAAGTTCTTTATGATGCTGCTGAGGTTCCCATAATTAAATGAAAGACAATATCTGAAATACAAGTTTGAACAGAAAGAGTGTGTGAAGATAATGTCCTGAATTTAGGATTCACTTACAGAATGGAAATTGAATTTTGTAAGGCAGATAAGAGGACATGGGTAACTCAGCTTCTTTCTTCACTGATAGTGAAATTCAGTAGGAAACATGTGCCTGCCTATCAGTGTGGTCTCAGAGATTAAATAAATTCTAGAGGGAATGCTTGTTTTATGAAAAGGCTAGACTGGGTAAAATAAGGAGAATTTCCAGATGGAAGTGACAACCAACCAACCTGATGAATCTTATGAGGAAGATTACATACACTTACTGACTCTTTCCCCATTTCATTTATTTAATTTCTTTTTCCTTGTAGATAATTAAAATCACTAGGTGGCAGTCTATGCCTGTAAGTTGTTCTTTTGATACAATTTGATAGTTCATTTTTGAGCACTTTTATAGAGGTCAAGGTCTAAATATCATCTAATATTATAGTAGGAAGAATTTAATATATTAATACTCAGTAGTAGTATTATAGAGATGTTGGTTGCTGTCCAGAATGTTACTGAACTCTCTCTGGAGAGGCAGAAAAGAAGTTTGCTTTTAGAATAAAATGGTCATTAAATATAAAAGCTGCTTCTTCTTTTTTTTTTTTTTTTTCCCCAGTGCAGTGTTATGTTGTATAAACACAGCCAGAGGCATGTACTAGTAAGTGAAGGAAAGCTCATCGACTTTTTAAGGAAATAAATGAAATAAATACAACCTCTTGATCAGATGAATTTTTAGCATGCTACCAGGAATTTTCTTTAAAAATACTCAATTAAGAAATTGTATGCAAATAAGTCAGTGTGTAGAAGTTTCATTTCCATGATAGTATGACTAAAGATAGTATGTTTGTTCCTATACACCTTATGTAAAGGTCTGAAATACATTATTCCAGTTTTCTGGCATTGAATTGAATGTTTAAAAGTCTGTTGCTGTATAATTCTGAAAATTAGTAGACTTTCTGAAATATTTATGCAAAGTGCTCCTTTCAGGTAAGGGAAATGAGTGTTGTACAGTTTTTTTCCTTTGTTCCTTCCCTCTGCTCTGGTACATGGGAAGGCATATTAGTGTTTTATTTCTTACATCCTTCCTCATCGCCCTCTGACAGGTTTTTGATTGTCACCATTTTGCAGAAGTTACATCCTCTAAACTCTGGAGTATCTTTATCAAAATAAGGAATGCCTGCTGTTCCATAGTCCTGCTCTCTGGAGGTGTTTCCTGTCCTTAGAACACTGTGATGAAAACTGCCTATTTTATTTTTATAGCCTAGGTAATGTGTGTAAACATTTTTTAATTTTTATTTTTTTTTTTAAAGGGAAGTACATTATTATTCCAGTTCTTCTGAGAAAATGCTATCCATTTGTCTTTGAATCTGCAAATGGATTTGAAACAACGATCTTGGAGTGGGAATGCATGTCCTGTTGCTCTGGCTGAAGTGTAAAATAAAGTTGCAACATGTAAAGTTCATATCATCCATATCACAGAAATATAGAGGAGATTAGAGGAGGGAATTAGATGATAGTAGGTAAAGAAATGGGAGGAAAAAACATGGTAAAAATGGAGAAAGTGGACAGAAATGAAGACTGAGAAACAAGAATAGCAGAAATAGTGATTAACAAGGAATGTCACTGAAAAGAATGCTAGAGCAGTTTTTTTTTTGTGTAACTCAAAAAAAACCCACCTCTCTATCCTACTGTGGTCAAGAAATGAAAATTACATAAACAGGGAAATATATATATATAAAATAGTTTGAATGTTCTTTCTGCCATCCTCCAAACACCTATAGCTTGAGGGCTTCCTTATCTGTAAGTGCCTCTGGTGATTTGGCCTCTGTAGTGATTTGTCTGTCATGCCATTCTGGCCTGCATTTGAAGGGAAAATCTAATGTGCACCTGCTGCCACGTCACAAGATTGTCCTCAGCAAGGGTAAGGATCAAGAGCTTTCTGACGACTTCAGAGCTCAATATTTTTATATATTGAGAATGTGGAAAAGGACCAGTCCTTGCTCAGAACTCAGAGTCCAACAGAAGAAAGGTGAGTTTGGCAGGTCTTTTCATAGCAGTGCTTGGGTAGAGGCTGACTTTTTTTTGGGTTTATATGTTCACCTTTACAGATGAAGTTTGCAAACTTTTTGAGGTTCCGCTTAATTCCCTTTTGTGCAGCAGCCTGCAGTTCCTTGTCATGGAATGTCCTGTTTACCATCAAGGGAGTCTAGGTGACTGTAAGTTAGATTCCCAGTGTCT